ACTGAATATCAGTTATGCCAGATTATAGCACAAACATTTCTGGTGAAAACAAGACGTCAACCCCGCTCTACGTAATAATACAATAATCAATGATTACAGAACATAAACATTCGGTATGGTTTTTTGCTCAATTTCTGATTTAGTAAGTATACGAGTCAAGTTTCTGATGTGATAGTATTTAAAAATATATGCAGACAATTTTTCTTGGCCCAAACAATTAGAAGAGAAAGGGAAGTTGGACCTCATCGTGGACTAACGGAGAAAGGCCAGAAAAAGTCAAAGATCATTTGTGAATAGCTTCACCTTAGGCGATGTTTTTCTAAGAAGATGGTATTCTGTTTATGATTTAGAAACAAGCGCTGTTGGTTTTGCTAAATCAATATCCTATAATACATAAACTGTCTCTTCTCTTTTCCTTGTACCACACCTGGTTTCATTTAATTTCGAAAAATAATAAACAAAATAATACACTATTGAAATAAAACAAGTTGATTTGAATATACTCTCGCCTTGCGGTCACCTTGGTCTCACGCCGAGATCTAGTTCGAACCGCAGTGATAATATAACTATTATATTTGCGTTCAAATCGACGTGAGACTGCGTCCCGAGGTCAAACAAGTCGTGTGAAGATTTCTCAATATCTAAGATATTTGAATAACTAGTAGTAGAATGATACAGCACTTTCGAGTTTCTTTGTCAGTAGCAAACTTAACATTGTCATGCAACCCATTCATTGGTCATCATATTTATCTAGTCGTTGTATATCTAGTCGTCAGCAACACCAGCTCGATAAACCAGTATGAATGAGGACAGTGAAAGCGAACAAACATAAATATTTTCACAGATTGCAGGTTCATTGGATGATATCATTGTTCGTGATTTGCAACCGTCATCACCTGAACGCCAACATTTACATACAATTATTCAGATTTTCATTCTGAAACGGGGCTTCTACCGTGCGTGTTACTCCAGTAAATGTGCATTAAAGTACATTCTGATTCTTGTTTTCCTCTGAGCATTAGTCAGCTGACTAATTCCTGTCTTTTTTCGTTCGGGGACAGATAAATGATGAAAATTTTCTGTTGATATTCGTTTTTGTCTCTTTTGTTTGAAAGAACGAATTATTGGTAAAAGAATCTAGACTATTCTTTATCGTCTATATAATATTTTTATTGTTCGCTTATCCGTGAAGAAGGTCATATATGTAAATGAGTAACGCTAAATACGTAAATGATCGAAACACTTTCGACCATATTCTTAATACAGCAGAAGCATCGTCAGAAGTACAGAAGTACAGAAAGACACCAAATCAATACATGTGTTTATTTTCGATCATGACAAAAAGAGCTGCGTTTTTATATCTTAGGAAACTGAGATACAGAACTGAGATAGATACTGGAGTACAGCAGTCAGATAGGCAAGCAAAGCAAAATAAGCACAGCAAAACAAGAATTAAAATGTACTTTAATGCACATTTACAGGAGTTACCTGCACGGTGAAAGCTCCCGTTTCAGAATTAAAATCTGAATAACCATGTCAAAATATAACGATGTCGGCAAACGAGTCAGATGTCCTATGGGTTTAGCATGTCTGCTACAAATTAGGAGAGAAGACTGTGTTCGGTTGCAAAGATCATGGGAAAAGATGCTTTTCTTGTGAGGCAACCGGCGCCAAAGAGCCAGCCTTTGAGATTTTGACCTCCATATCTAGTTGAGCAGCTTTTTAGGCGCGGAAACTTATGCAGAAAAGCAGCAACGAAGAAATGGCGAGATGAAGACGTCTTGCGTTTCAGCACATTTTTCAAAATATTGTGTTTCGAAGCTGTATTTTTTCTTGTGAAAAACTGAATCCCTCAACTTCTTTTCAACGTCTTTTTTTTTTTGTACACAAGTAAATGAAAAAAAAACACACTTGTTTTTAGATCAACATCAAACATTAACAACGAGACAGATTGAATAAATGTGTCGAATATTTTCAAATTTGGAACAGCTCTCTATTTCTGTTTCGTCAATTTATGATGTTTCATATATATGATATGAATTAGATTATTTATCATTTTTTAAAAATAAAGTTTAATGATGTTCGATTGACTGTTGACGATATTCAAAAATGGTTCAAACAAACAGTAGCAGCAACAAAATTAGATAACAGATCTATTTACCAGATTGTTGGTCATCGTTGTCTGATTATTTGGATTAATGACAAACTTGTACCCAAACAAAAACGATTCTATAATTATGACTTTATGAATCAATTGCGGGTGATGTGAACAAGCGAAAAAATGTCCTCTTTGTAGAAGTTTTCTAATGAGCCTCTTCACGACTAGGTTAGAGCGCGTGACACAGCATTATGTTCGTCGATTTGAGTCCTAGTCGAATCAAATTTTCTTTCGTTCAATTGTTTAACATCATCCCTGAAATAACTGTATACCTTATTTAACACCGATATTCAAAATTTTGAGTGAGGGTAAAGTCTTTTCGTAGTTTTTATTCTATTGACTACTTTACGATTGGAATCTTTTTATTATTTCTTTGGTGTGCAGTGCAGTGTCAAAGAGAAGTATTTTTCCTTTTGCATTCTTTAGAGGTATTAGTGAATCTAGGTAATTTCTTGTAATTTTCTGTATTTGGTTTATGGATGAATCTGTATTGTATGTTGGAATATATGGTAATTTCGGTGTTTTCTGATTTTATTGTTTTTGCATTGTCGAAACTTCTGAAATTGCTTTATTTATGAGGGAAATTTCCGTTTTTTAAATTTGAACACTGCTGCCCAGATCTCGTCTCCCGTTTTGACTCATTCATATCTCAATCGACAGAGTGTATCGAGATAGTAAAAACCCTAGAGAGAACACTCCCAGATTTTCGAAAACTTTAAAAAATAGCCAAAATCTTTCTTAATGAGGCTTCTGAGGTTTCTGATTAAAATGAGACATCTCCCAGTTCTACAAGACCTTTCTTTGCAAAGTTATAGAAGTTACAAGAAAAACTAGGAATTAATTTCTTCTTATTTCTGTAGCTTTGAGCTGATTGATAGTGACATTTAGAGTTTTGTATATTCTATAACTTTGGAAAGAAAGGTCTTGTAGAGCTGGGAGATATCTCATTTTAATCAGAAACTTGTAAGCTACCGTTATGCCTCATTAAGAAAGATTTTGGTTATTTTTTAAAGTTTTTGAATGAGTCAAAAGGGGAGATGAGACCTGGGAATGTTCCCTCATTAATGGACGTTTCTCTCATTTAAGGACCAAGAATAACCCATGTTGCAAAGATTGACATAACAGCATATCTCAAGGGCAATGAACATACTTCCCTTGTACAATTAAATAATTTTATAAACATATTTTTGAAAAGTCATCGAAAGATTGCATTGTGGGTATTTTTGAATATTTGCATTATGATCTGTTCTTTTACATTGCACAAGAAGCATTCAGTACCTAAAACAAAGTTACCTCTCTTTGGCTGATTGCAGTGCATTCTTCTGGCACTTGTGTACTACCCCTTATTTTAACCTTCAGTTTTTCTCCATTGTCTTTTATAATTACGACATGACTAAAATGAACGTTTCAATGGAAATAGTAGAACTGGTCATCATAAAGGTTTTCATCGTGCGAATTGAAAAAGATTTATGCAATATATTCATCTTTATCTGGTGTTCATACGGACTAAATCTTTTTCATTTACAACCGCAGCCCCTGTCCAGCTACAAAACAGTGATACTCGAACGATATACATAGTCGACATCTTTGTTATAAACAATCTGAAAAAGCCACAACGTAGAAAGAATGAAACGTATAGACTAGATTTATGAAATTCTGAATTTTAGAAATAGATTAACATCCAGTATCCGTTGTGAACTCTGATTTATACCAATAACGCCATCACACAGTCACTGACAGTATTATGATACTGTCAGACTTATGGCAAACAAAAAAAGGAAGATTTAAAAAGAGAGGATTTTATATTTTTGTAACGCACAAATCTACTGCACTTATTAAAAGTATTTTGATTAACCCATGTTATTATTTCTTTTTTTTCGGTATTGTTATAGTCGTACCCTTTCTATTTGTACGACTTGGTTTTAAACCAGTCCTAGTTGGAATATTGAATTTGCCTGTTTCTTTTGGTTGTGCAGGTACGAGTAGAATGCATCTACCACCTTTTCTTTATCAGCTGCTGATTTTGTGGCCCATACCCGCGTATCGTGGACGAAACTGCAAAAAATAAATAACAATATGTTATGCAACTGGACTGATATTTACTTTATTGTCGAAGAACACAGCAACTTATATTTAGCGTGCGTACGAACCCACAAGTTCGAAATCACCAAGGCCATAAAACGATCGAATTATTTCGTTTTTTTGTGCAATTGCTGCTTTACCAATTAAATCAACGATATCTGTTAACGGACGTTGGTTCCAATTGGTTTCGTTTTTTAGTGCATGATTTAAAGTCGCTTCGCAGTCATTATTATAAAATAACCGTGGATGTCCACTGCTCATGTGACCAGCTTGAAGTCTAACGGACGAGATCATATGATTACGAAACGTTTTTGATTGATATCTATCGAACCATACAGAAAAACTAGGCAATATTTCATCCCATTTAGGTTTCATTTCTGATAAACGTTCGTCGAATATTTCATTGGTTTCGGATTCTATAATACTTTCTGGTTCATCAAATACTGTACTTAGTACCTGTTGACGTCGTTCAAGTGCTATATGTTCTGTTACAAGATGACGCTCTATGTTTTGCTTAACATGTCGAGTACAAAACAAATGAGTTGCTTCTGGAAATGTTTTCTTCCATTAACATCATACGGACGACATTTTCTTTTGATATGCACAAGTAGTTCTTCATATGCAGCAGCGTCACGTTTATAATACATCATAGTTGGTCCGATAGTAACAAGCATGTTCTTAGTTTTTCGATTGCGAAAAGCATTATTACGAAATGTTGTCGGTGTTACAAAGAATTTTCCGAGATTAAATGTTGTATCTAAGCCTGAATATAAATAAAAATGTAATTCTTATAGTAGGAATCCGTACAACTTTAGTTTTCGAGAACTCCTGTACTTACATAAAATGGATTTGGATTCTGTCTGGTTTAAATTGATACAATTGCGTAGTAATTCTTTCATTTGATGTTCATAATCCAATATAACGATTGGCGCTTGTTGGCGACTCATTGAAAGATGTGATACTATAGAATTCTCATCTTGTAAACTTTTCATAATACTTCTGTACTGTTCTTCGAGTGGTATTGTTAATTGTCGTCTTGAGTTGTATATTTGAGTACGATCACGGACAGTTTGGGTTGGAGATATTACTTGTTGAGCATTTTCTATAAATCTTTTGCAGACAGTAGCTGATTTGGTTTCTCTTTGACCCTACCATAAACCAGAGATGATGAAGAAAATAGTAACTCATATGAAGATTGCTTCCCATTCTTTGGTACGGTATATTGATTACTTACTTTCAAATGTGTCAAAGTAGACGGATCTGTCGACGTAAATGGCCGATCAGATCTCTTAGCATTTCCATGAGGCAGTAGACGCATTTTTTGAACATCATCAACATTTTCTTTCGTTATGACATAATGAACGAATATCGGTAATTGATGTTTACTTTCACTGTCATATTCTGTTGTATACGTTATCATACGTCGAAAAGAAGGTTTTGCTTTATTTGTTGCATAAATTCTAAAAAAGAGTAAAACTACATAAGGTCCCCTATGAGAAAATCAGAGTTTTATTTTCATATGGTTAGTAGGCATGCATTGAGTCCAAGTCCTACTCAAGATACTCGACTGCTTGATTCTTCCAATCTATCGAGTAGTCGGGCTCGGTGCATGCCTAATGGCTAGGTAGAGGAGACGACAGGCTAAATAATGTCACAATTATTTTGAAAATATTATAATTTTATGTTTCTGTTTTAATAAGATAAGTTTTTTACAGAGTTGTATATATCACTCTAGAAAAGTATTCCCTTTCTGGATCTTCAGAACTATAACCGCTAATAGTCTGATATTTCTTGTAGATACAGAGTGCTCGCTAGGTACTGCTCATTCACATTTTTTCGGATTTTTCACCATTTTCCAGCAGAAATAGCCTCTTTTGCAAAGCTCATGAAATCCGCAGTCCCTATCCAAAAATCATGAGTTTGATCTCGAATGAAAGAGGACGCCGACTTCTATACGGATCGATAAAAAAATTTCATGTCCATATTGAGGAACAGATCCGAAAGAACTCCAGAAAACTTTTTGTGGGTTTGTTCAGAGTTTTTAAACTTTCATTACTATTTCAATTTAAGGAAGACAGCCATCCTTTCTGCGGTTGATGCCGAGTTCAAGCATTTTTCGTTGATGCTTTAACTCGAAAATTTGGAATGTATGTTCTATTCTGGACTATAGTAATTTCTCGAACAAAAGGCTTCTAGACTTCGAAACACTCTCTATTCCTTGCAATAGATGACATGGAGTCTTTTTTTATTTCGATTTTAGACCCCTAAAATTCTTATTTATTCGTTCAGAATTTGCCTCCAAACTGAATTCAATAAAAACTATCTATGTTTTACAAAACAAGCGTGCGTTTCGATAGAATTTGGCAAGATTATTAACAGCCGTTGCACATACTTAACGTCGAACTGCTACACAAGGTGCTCAATCGGCTTTCACCAAATGAAATTTTAATTATATGGACAAAGACTATGAAGTTTTCGTGACTTAAAAGCTAAACCGCAATCCGAGAGATCTCATAACTGCTGAAATATTCAACTTTTAA